TTAAATTGTTTCGTGCGTTAGGTATAAATAAATGTCTATATATTTTCCATGGTTGAGGAATTTAATGGAATATAATTATGGAATGTTATGTATTAACGGAAGCTCATTAAAGCTTACAACGTTAGCAGTCGGCTATGAAATACAAGAAATAGAACATAGATCTGAATTTAAACAGTAATCAAAAAGATGGAATTTTTTCACAATTGTTAGAAATAAAAAATAGAGATAAACTGTATAAGACAGATTACCGACTTACTAATTAATATATTATTTTAAATTTGTTTCTGCGTTATTGCCGCAGAAACTACATTGCGTAAAATTAATCAGAATTTACGAAACTTGCGAGAGCTTCACCGAGAACAATCGAAATTTCGGTAAAATCATACCGAACGAAGGATATACCGAGAATAGTACCGTTAAGGACGTTCCGTAGTATTAAGCCAACTTCGACGACCGTAGATCGTCGTTGAAGAGCGATCATTAAAGATGTTTTAACGAGCAGCCGCACAGACGGGACAATAGCGGCAGGAATCACGAGGGTCGCCACATCTCTCTCTTCTCTCCCCCTTGGCCCTTCCCCGTCCTTAGATCTCTATTGGATGCATGCGAGCGTCTGTCCCGACTCCCGACTCCCGACTCTCCGTCTGCGTGTGGGTCTCGCTCGGTGCATTCGTCGCAGACTCTGGGAGGGAGACATTAAACCCTTTGCCGCGTGATTTAGTTGACAAAGTAGCGTAGTTACAGTCGCCTGCAGAGACGGGACCTGCAGCTTCTAGCCCAGGCCCGCAATACCGTCTTTCGTGGCATCTTTACGAACAATGCCGTGACAAACACGTCGGGAAACACGACCCCGCAGGCTATTTTAAAATAAAAAAGTCATTGTTTAAGCGTCTTTCGGAATCCGATATCCGTATTAGTGTTTAGTCTGGCGTCGCGTTTCACCGGGTAGCAGACGCGCCAGCTCGTACTGCACGTGCCATTTTCTCGATTTTACTTCTTCTTCTCTCTCTCTCTTGTCCGCGATCTGTCTTCGTCGCTTCGTCGCGGCCACTACGTCGAAAATTTAGCAATCAGACATTAGCAATTAAACATTCTTATGATTGGCACTCTTTGTCAGATAGAAGTGCTTGCTGTTACTCCTTTGAAATATGAATTTCGTTCGCTTATAACTCGCAAAATATTAGCGGCCTGACATTTTTATCCGCAAATAATTGATTTGAAAATCTATCGGAGGTGCGGGGACTCTTGTTTTAATTTAAAAACGGTAGCGCGCGATAGAACATCCTATAAAATATTACTAAAAAATTTGTCAAAGTAATACCGTGTGAATTCTTGAATCGTTACATGCATTTTTCACGAATTGCATTCACGAATTAACGTTTTCGAAGTCAAAAGAGACTCGTCAAAAGAGTTCTTCAGTTTACTGCGAGAAGATAACGAGCAGCGAGATCGGCGGCGTAGCCTACCTCGCAATCCCTAACTCGTAGATCACGATGGCGACGTATTGTCTCTCCCTCTTGCTCGTTACCATCCGCGCGCCTATTATCCGATTCTATTTTCCAATCTATCCTCGTACGAGGCGCACCTTGTCTCGTCCAAGCTGCCACTATGCACTAGTCTTCTTCTCCAAGTGAATGCGGAGCGATGCGCTCTTGTCTCGCGGCACTTCAAATAGGCGGCACTCGAGACTCGGCACAAAGAGCGGCGTACCCGTACGGCCGTGATAACAGAGCGCAAGAAAGCTCAAGATAAGGCCGAGGACCCTCGCAGCCGCGCCGCTCTACGTCGGCTCATTCCCGGGGAAATATACACACACGGTACGTTGTCGTGATTGCTCGTGTGTTAGCTTAATTGAATCTCAGAATCATCGTACCACACACCATAGCGAGTTTTTTATCATTCTAATATTACATAAAGCTTCGAGAACCTTATTCTTCGACATCGCTTTCGTTTTCGCCGAATACCGATAGATTTATTTTCTAAAGATTTAATTTAAAGATAAAGAGGCAAGCATAGGCATTTTCAAAAAAAATAATTGCAAGTATGAGTAAAAAGTATTAATATAAATATTCTCTTCCGACGATTATTCGATTCCTGTTTTCAACGTCCCTAGCTCGAACAATCGGGCAGACTCGTCCTTCCTAACGCGATGCACGCGATACTCGTGGATGCACTCGGCGAAGCCGCATATACGGTGCATATACGGAGTGCGCGCTGCGCTACGCTGCGCACGTACACACAGGCATCGTGCGCTCGTAGCGAAGGACAGAGAGGGAGAGTCGTTCAAACGAGGGGCCCGCAGCGCCTGGGCTCTGGGCCTCGTCGCGTGTTTTTGCCCCCCGTCTGGCCCCCACCGCGGCTCATCGTTTTTTGTCTGGTGCACACCGCATGCTCTGCACAGCTCACCTCGCCTCCTCCTCATCTCGGTCGACGTACCACCTCCTCCTCCTCCTCCTCTACCGCCCCCTTCTCTCTCTGTCAATCTCTCTCGTCGTGCCCCGCTCGCGCTCTCGCTCTCAATCAGGGCCGGTGTGAGTGGGCATGCTCGTGATGCTCCGTTTGCAGAGCGTCCGATGCTGAATATTTTCGATATGACGATATCTTACATTCGATGTAGCAAAAACAGCGCTGACATTTCTTTCATAGAATGTAAATCGGCTAAATCGCAAATATGCACACGGTATATTTTTATAATTTATATTAATTCGATTTATCTGTTCGAAAAAAATCGAGGGATTTTTATATCACAACTGATATACAAGGTTTTTTAAACTTCTCTAGGAAAAAGAATGCGATAGAAATTTATGAATTATTCGAACTTTTCCAGTTTTAGCTTATAAATTTTTCTCTGAATCCCGTGTCGGCAAATGTTTTCCTAGAATTTTCTTTTCCCACTGGGAGGAATCTTATACAAATTTGAAGAACATTGAAATACCACGAACCATTTTTTGAAATGACGGTTGAAATTAGAATTAAACAGATATATTTTTAATATATTTTTTTTATTTCGGAGTTATATGATTTGTATATAACAACTTTTGACAACTTTGATAGTATTATCCAGCTAACTTAATAATGGTATAATTTTTGAATTGCCCCGCATAATCAAAAGCGAAATACCTCATTTAATTCTCGCGATACCTCTTGTTTGAAATTGCCGATCTAACGAAACGTTCGCGCCGTCCCTGTTCTCAATCTCGTCGTCATCGGTCCTCCGTCGCACCGCATCCGGGCGGTATCTCCCCGAGCCGAGACACGCGCACGGACACGCGTGTCCCTGTCGCGCGGTAGAGGAGGAGAACAAGGAAGCGATGGAGGCCGTCGGACGAAGCCAGAGATCCAAGCTGTTCCGCAGTCGCTAGCGAGAGGTGATGGTCGGGGGGAGAGGGGTACGGGGGGGAAGGAAGATGCGGTCGTTCGATCTCGGTGCACCTGCCGGCGTTGACGTCCGCGATGCCGAACGGCGATTCGCGATCAGACTGCTCATACGATGCACAAAAAGGATCGCAGGATCACGATGGAAATGATTTAATTCTTTTCACAATCTGAGCCCGCGAATCCAACGTAATCGTTAGTTCTTAAATCCATCGAATTTCGATTAATTGTTTAATAGTGTATGTGTGAAAATTGTAGATGTCTAATAATAGGAATTTTAATTAAAGTACATTGTCGTTATCTTTTAACGGTCGAATTAATTTTTTAACGACGGTGATTTTTTTCTGGAAAACTTTTAATATGTTTAAAAATTAGATGAAAAATATAAAAAGAGATTGTTCGTGACTAAAATTATTTTATGTACGATAAAATGTTTGTTCCAAGAATAGACGTTCGCCTGTTAGTCAATTAATTACCTTTCTATTAATGGTGCATGTAACTTGTTAAGTTATATGATTTGACAGTTGAGAACGTATTATGAGGAAACCTCAAAGAAAATTCTCGCATGATACGCCAGAGGAGAATAAAATTCTAATATCTTCATATAGCATCTCATTCGGAGTCAAATCTAAATGTAACGTGTAATCAAACACTAATTATTGACCAATTAGCCGTCATAGATCAATTTATTACCGCAACACGTGCGTATGTTTCACAATTTATGTGCGTTTAACTACGTTCTAATGCTAATGAAATGATATTACATGTGATTGATAACATGATTGCTCATACGACATTCTTCTTGTGTTTCGCGAAGCGCATCTTGGCGATTACGCTCGCGAGAGTCCTTGGCAATAGCATGGTTGCGGAAAATGACATCTAATCGTTTCCACGTGTCGATGATTTGTGCCGACTCTACAAACCACACACAGGGCATTACTCGCGTCATGATCGTTGAAGTTCTAACAACTTAGTCCTGCAGACACCACACACGATTCAAAGAGACGGGCGAATATATCTTATTGTTAATGCTTTTATACAGTTCATTTTTGTAAGTAAAATGTAATTCGTCTTTTTTATTCGCATTATTATTTAATGTATACTGTTCTCATTTATATTACATAACGCATTATTAAAACGATGATTTCATTACTACATTGATAATTGGTATACATATGCAGTATACTTATATAATATAGTGACATCGTATGGATCGACACGAAAACATTGGCATTAAATCGGTTAAATCTTAATGGTAACTAGTTTAAATTAATTGTAATTAAAATATTTCATAAAAATATTAAATTTAAAAAATATATGTATATATCACTTTAAAAAATTTCATTAAATAACATGAGGGGGAAAATGTAAATATTCCAGAGAGATCAATATTCCTTCGAGTGTCAGTAATCATAACTCACTGAAATTTTTTCACATCCTTTGAATAATTCATTTTCACACTAATGATAGTCTTATCTCTCCGCTTCGCCACTAAGAAAAGTCGCGGCAGTTGCGACATATATAGAACCGAGAACAGATAAATGCGAAAGTTAGGGAGATTGACGTACGACGAAGTTTCCGATCAAAATTATTGACCAATCGCGGTATCCGATTTCCGGTTGCAGTGGGTGCGAGCGGCTACATCGTCTCGGCGGCGCTCGTGCTGATAGTCGGAGCACTGGTGGGTGTCCTGGCGACGATATCGCGTCATCTTCATCATCGTCGGCTGTTGGTGCATGAGCCGGTTCCTCCCGGCTCTGCCTCCTCCGCTTCTGCCTCGATTCTTCACCACCATCATCGGCATCATCATCATCGTCACCGTCATCGTCGTGAGGAGCCACCGCCGCCGCCGTTACAGCGCTGTCTTCTACTGCAGGATCATTATCGTTATCCTGATACACCCGTGAGTACCATCTGATCGTCGAGGATGCGTGAAACTTTGAGAGAAATTACGTTTCTACGTAGAATGTATAGAAATTCGATTTCAACAACGATAATATACATCGTGATGTCGGCATATAATAATATGGTTAAAAGGGATGAAAGATAAGTAACGCGATCAGACGGCGGATTTATTTTTATACACGCGCGCTTTTGAAATAACTAATATTAGAGAACATTAAGAGAAATTTATTATGATAACCAGGAGAATTACTAAATTGCGTCGCTGATGGATTTATACGTGGATCATCACATATATCTCGAAGCTGTTCGAAATAAAATCCGAAGCACACTTCCGCATATTCGTTGTAACTGTATACGTCGTACTAATTTTAGCAAACTTGACCGAGTTCGTCGAATAGCTTCTTTACAAATAACGTCTCGAACGATTCGCGACGAACGTCGCGTATCGCATTCTTCCCGAAACAATCCTCTTTCTTATTACTTTCTGTCGCATTTCGCTGAACAATCGCCGGTCTCATTACGCATTCTTGATATCGCGCGTCACGAGTCCAAAAGGCATACGCGCACGCGCTATCGTCAGCGCTTTTTTTTTCTTTCTCGCCGGCAATAGATGCGCCGTTGTCATTACGGCCGCAGTAGCAGGCGAGAGTTATGCAGAGATCGGAAGGGGGAGGGGGGAGGAAGTGCGATTTCCCATCCAGCGGAGGTGGTTATCGGCGACGTTGTCGACCTTCGGCAAGATTATTACACGATTCGTGGAACGTCGAAGGCTATCTAGGAAAAAGCTTCCGATATCTAATCTCGGCAGCCAGCCCGGCCGTGCTTGGTCGCGGCACAGCTGCATCTATCTGGCGCGCGCGTTTTTTTATCCGTCTCTTTTTCTCTTGCCTCCAGAAAAGCAGACCACGCGACGACGCGACCTCGCGGCCGCGCGTAACTTCTCATTCCTCCACTTTTTCTTTCGTTTCTGTGTCCCGATTCAATTATTTTAAACGCGCGACAACGAGGCCGAATCTAGGACGAGCATGATTTACGAGATCCACCTGCAGTCGTAATCGATAGTATTATAGTGTATAGTATTATATTGCTGCGAGTTTTCAGATGAAGAAGTCGCGAATTGCGTGAAGTAAATCCTTCACACGTAACTTAATGCGATATAATTCGTTTAACATTTAATTATATTACATGTGCGTGGAAAGTGGCCCATGACGCGCGCGCAATAGGCCATTGCACTTTCCACGCACTTTGTTATATAAAATAGGGTGTGTAACACGTGCGGGTTGAGAATTGGACACGGGTGCGGAGTGGACGCACGAGCCGAAGGCTTCCCGCACTTGTTACATAATAGTCTATTATGCAACACGTGCATGGAAAGTGCCCCATTACGCACGCTACGTGTGCGTGATAGACCACTTTCCAGGCACTTGCAACATAAAATAGGGTGTGTAAGCCGTGCGTAACTCGCCTTCGGGTGTGTAACTCGCCTTCGGCTCGTGCGTAAACTCCGCACCCGGGAATTTTCATCTTTACACACGACTTACACTCCTTATTTTATGTTGCAAGTGCCTGGAAAGTGGTCTATCACGCACGCGTAGCGTGCGTAATGAGGCACTTTCCATGCACGTGTTGCATAAATAACTATTTCGCTCTCGTGTTGAAACTGTTTTTAAAAATATTAACTCTGATTTTTAATTAAAAAATCGAACGAAATAATTTCATCATCTTAAATTGAAAAATAATAATGGTTACGAGAAATATTTTTCCGAAAAATATTTAATTCCGTTCACAAATTATTTTTGAAATATCCGCTGAATGTATGAAGTAATCGATGAAGTTTTCGGTGCCCAATTTTTCTTTCGCGAACATACCCTGAACAATATTCTCTAGATAATTTTCCCCAACACAAGTGTTACAATTCGCATGAGCAACGTCTATGCGCTTCACTTCGCGACGTATCCGTCCCGATGGCGAGAGATTCCGGATCCCCGGCATCGATCGGTGGCGGAGCCCTTTCCTCGGCAAAGCCCCGAGGGTACAAGGACGTCGACGGTGCGTCCACCGCGCGCTTCGGTTTCCATCGGCATCGGGTGATGGGGAACTTAATTTGGAAGTTACCGGTCCCGTGATTACGTCGAGGAGAGTCGGCGGAAGTTCTATCCTCTTCGTCGGCGCGCGGCGCGGCGCGGCGGCGAGACGTTGCGATGCGTTTCGTACAGCCCAGCCGTCACGCCTGCCCCCTTTCTGCCGCCGCTACCGTCGTCGCCGCCGCCGCCGCCGCCGCCACGACGTGGACCATTGTTACTCTAGATTGCATCGCAAATTAGATTACGGCGTACTACGGGACCGCCCTTATTCCCGTGCGCGCCGACGCCGACGCCGACGACGCTGTTCTACGCTTTTTGGCGGAGACCGAGAGGATCCGGCTTCCTTTTGCTCCTCTCAGTCGCGGCATCCTCCCGTCCTTATCTCGCCCCCGATCCGCACCAGATTGCGACACACACGAACCGCCGCCTTCTTCGCGTGCATACAGATGTACGACGCGACTTCGCGATGCCGACTGCGACTGCAACGTCGAAAATTTCCTTCCGAGCAGAGATCCTTTTCTTTCCGATATTCTTCCGGTAAAACTTTGGCCGTTGAAGATTTTAAATTGAATAATTTACAGAAATTTTATATTTTTGCGTATAATATACTTTTTTTTAGACATAGTATATATAAAAACCGATATATTAGGGGCAAACTAATTTTGTTTTAATTTTTATTGCTTTAGCTGTAGTCTTTTTCTGGTTTTTCTAAATTTAGTGTAACAACAAATCTTCATTTTGCTATCGAGATTAATTATAGAATACCATTATCTTATTCCATCAATCTTATCTTAGATTCGTTCTCGATCTTCTTGTTCCAATTTCATTATTGCGTCAGATATATCGCTTGGGTACATTATTCTATTTACTCGGAACAGTGGCAACTAAATCTCATGATGATGTAGCTGATAATATCCTTCAGTAATAATAACGATGATTAAATTAGCTGGTGTTAAATTTTATTAGACAAAGTTCAAAAGTCTTTTCTCAGTTAATCTAAAAAGTCTTTCCGATGCGCTTTCGGAGTACTTGTTTGACCTTCCGGTCGACCTTCCTGATCCAAGATAGTGATGAAACCGTTGACTGTGTAGATAGCCGACCGTAAAAGAGAGAAGAGAGATTAGTCGGGATGGGAGTAAATATTATGTCTAGCATTTTGTGCAGCAGTAGTCTCCGATTACTCCTTCGCAGACTGACATTGTTTTTCTCCTTTTACCTTGCACTCTTTTCTTTGCGGGAGAAATTTCGCGGACAAGTTGATCAAACATTTCGAATTAATTTTTTCTGTTTTCTTAGACAATTCATAGCATGTTCCTAATCAAAGGTTTATAACTATTTCAATTCTGTCTATTCTGTCAATTCTGATTATTATATTTCGAAATGTAGCATCATCTATATATTTATGTTTCTTATGTTTTATCCATAGATGAAGCGATCAAGCGAGCTTATTCAGCCGAGCAAATAAAACGCGAACGAAGAAGATTAATCGAACGGATTAAACGGAAGACTCGAACACACCGGCATTTTCCACGACACGGCTGTACTTCGCCTCATCCTGTGAAAAATGCCGGTGTGTCGCGACACGCAACCGTATATAGCGACGACGTCGGAGAGTGGTGTTTATCCACCGTCGCGTCGTCGCCGATGGCGTCGTGGGGGTATCGTGGAGAGAGGATGCACCGTCGTAAACCACTGCGACGCCAACGAGATGCGACGCGACGCGACCCGACCCGACCCGACGCGACGGTGCGCGACGGACGTTACGCGGACGTTCGCTATGCGAGAGCCGCTGTGTACACCGCGCAGATCAAGCGACACCCGGGCTTCCCCCGGTAACGTTAAGCTCGCGAGCGGGAAAGCAATGACCTGATTTGCAATTTATTACGTTTGGGCGACGTCCAAGTACGGCGCATTGGCGCCGCTGCCAAATCGGCGCGGCTGCCGATCGACGCGTATACACAGGCACCGCGAACGTTCCCACGAGCGTGAAAAACAGGAGCAGAGTGCGAGGCGTGTACAAAAAAACAAAAACGAGAGAATCAACGCGCGCGTACCAACGGGCGGGAAAAACAATCGGAGACAAGTAGGCAAACACAGACAGCCGCGTATATGCCCCACGCGAACGGTACGCCCCGAATTTCAACGTGAGCCGCAAAAATCGCGAATCGAGATTCCCGGTCATGTTTCCGCCGCGGTGTGTAGGTACGTTGTCGGTGAAGTAAACACGTCAAGCGTGACGCGCGTCGCGACAAATCGTCTCGTCGAAACGTTTCGATCCGTGACCGTCGGAATTACTTGTTCACGTAGATTGATTTCTTGGCTCATATTCAGTAGAATCATGAAATCATTATCAATTAGATTGCTCAAGATCCCTTTCAAGCTCCCATTTTTTTCTTTTTTTCTTCGCAGCACACACGAGTAAAAATTTATAGTCTTTTTATAACACATTTTTATCATTTCATTAAAATGTTTAGAAAATTCTTGTTTATTGAGAAGTTGAGCGATGATAGTTTGCCGTTAAGTTTTTTCTAGGGAAAGATCAGCTGTGTGAAGTTGGCCCCCCCACTACTGAAAATTCAATAATAACTATAACCATTCGTTTGGTGGTCGTTTGGTGGTGTTTGGTAGTCCATTCCCGACGTTTGGTAGTCAAAGCTGTAACTAATAATGCGAAAAAAAGACATATGCGCGTGAAGTTAGCCCCCCCTCTTGTAAAACTCGGCTTTCCAGACTGCGTACATCATTTT